GAGTGTGATCTCTAACCATGTAAACCAGGTAGCCTGAGTGTGATCTCAAACCCATGTAAAGCAGAACAACTCCACAAAGTTGTCCTCTGACCTCCATGCACCCTTCCTGCACAAAGGAAATGAATAAATATAAAAAACTTTTGCTTTGAGACAGTGTCTCGTGTAACTCACGCTGGCTTTGAACCCATTGTGTACTGAAGCTGGCCTCAAACTTCTCATCCTCCTGTCTCTGTCTTCTTTGTTTCAGAATTACAGGCACATACCACCATGTCTGGCCCCATAATTTTATTAAGAGGTTACTTTTTAAATCAAATATTAAATGACATAAATCCATTTCCTGGATGGGTATGATGGGCATATTGTAACCCCAGCACTCCTAGCCCTTAAGAAGGTATAAGCAGGAGAATCTAAAATCTAAGGCCAGCCTGGGCTACATAGCAAGACTCTGTCTTAAAAAAAAACAAACAAGCAAACAAAAACAAAAAGAAGGAACTGAAGCCAAAAGGAAAGAGAATAACCTTTACCCTTTGTTCTCATTTACAGAAAGACTTCCTAGGTGACTAATGTCCAATTCTTTCAATTATCAGAATGCCTCTTCCTTCCTGGAGTGTCAAGTGTTCGGGCAGGAATAATTACCTCTGCTTGAGGATGATAGTCATTACTTAATTAAGAGCATGCAGACAAAGAATGGCACTGTTAGAAAGTGTGGCCTTGTTGGAATAGGGGTGATCTTGTTGGAGGAAATGTGTCACTGTAGAGGCGGGTTTTGGGGTCTCATATGCTCAAGCCACACCCAGTGAGACAGTTTACTTCCTGTTGCCTGCAGCTCAGGATGTAGACAGAGCTCTTAGCTTCTTCTCCAGCACCTTATCTGTCTGCGTTACCATGTCTTGCCGTGAAGATAATGGACTAAATCTTTGAAACTGTAAGCCACTCCAATTAAATGTTTTCCTTTATAAGAGTTGCCATGGGGGCTGGAGAGATGGCTCAGTGGTTGAGAGCACTGACTGCTCTTCCAGAGATCCTGAGTTCAATCCTCAGCAACCACATACCTGTCTATATGAGATCTGGTGCCCTCTTCTGGCCTGCAGGCATACATGCAGGCAGAATACTGTATACATATTAAATAAATAAGTCTTTTTTTAAAAAAAGAGTTGCCATGGTTATGGTTTCTCTTCACAGCAATAGAAACCCAAAGTCACATGGGATCCAATGCCCTCTTTTGATGTGCAGACATATATGCAGACAATTTATAAAATATATGCATATATATGAAATATAAATATATATAAAATACATAAATATATGTGTAAATAATTAAAAGAAAAATAAGTTGGGTCGTCTACTTGGAGTTAACCATGTTTCACTTCCCCTCTGACAGTTACTTGCTGGTCAGAAGAAAAGCTCTCCCTTCTGGACATTTGAATACTATCAGACATTCTTTGATGTGGACACTTACCAGGTTCGTGAACCAGCTTCACTCTTTATTTTCCATACTGGGGACTTGTTTCTTCTGAGATAGAGCAGCCATCATGTGAGAGCCACTGTACTGGAAGCGGCCTTCCTAAACACAAGGCTCGCTGCACATAAAAGCGCTGTGAGAAAAGCTGAAATGACGAACTTAGTTGCATAGATTAAAGCCTAAGGAAAATGAACCTTCCGCAGAATTGCTGCTGTGTTGCCTTGCAGGTCTTTGACAGAATCAAAGGGTCTCTGCTGCCGGTCCCTGGGAAGAACTTTGTGAGGTTGTATGTCCGCAGCAACCCAGATCTCTACGGTATGTACGATGCCCTCGCTTCTCTCCCACATCCCGCTAAATTCCAGTAAACGTGGGGGTTGCCTGGAAGGTTAGAGAATTGCACTGTTAGTAGGGTGTACAATGTTTTCTTGGCTCTGTGAGGTTAAGTAACAATGTTTGCAGAGAGTTTGGAGGGAGAAGGAATTTCATCTTTCGTGAGTGCTGCAGCTGCCTTAGTGGTCTTTTACATCTTCAGGTGACTTTAGTGTAAGCTTGAGGCAGGTGGGCCTTTCCGAGTTCTGTTGCTTCTCCTCCATGGAGAGTTTGGTGGGGTCACATCGTCTCAGGCATTTGAAAACCTGGTCCCCGGTTCGTGGCACTGTTTGGGTGGGATTAGGAGGCATGGCCTTGCTGGAGGAAGTATGTCACTGGGGGCAGGCCTTGCGATTTCAAAAGCCATGTACCATCTCCAGTTCGCTCTTTCTTCTTACTGCTTGTAGTTCAACGTGCAAGCTCGCGGCTGTTCGGCTTGCCTGCTGCCATGCTTCACCCCTGTGATGGCAATGGACCATAAGCCTTCATGAGCCTTCTATGAGTTGCCTTGGTCATGGTGTTTTAGCACAACAGTAGAAAAGTAACCAGTCCAGGTCTGTCTTTGTTACTCATGTTGCTCTTTTCTCTGTTACAAATATTTCACAATATAAAATTAATCATATAATACATTATATTATCAATATTTTATTAATTCATATACTATATATTAAAACATATTGGTGTTGTCTGAGGTTTTCTGTCCTGCCTGGTTTCTGTCCTCACACCAGGTCCCAAAGAAATCACACAGAGAGTCTGCATTAGTTATAAACTGATTGGCCCATTAACTCAGGCTTCTTATTAACTCTTATAACTTATATTAACCCATTATTCTTATCTATGTTAGCCACATGGCTCGGTACCTTTTTCAGCAGAGCAGGTCACATTCTACTTCTTCCATGGTCTAGGCAGGACTGGGAGGGATGGGCTTCCTCCTTCCTAGAATTCTCCTGTTCTCATTGTCCCGCCTCTACTTCCTGTCTGGTTGTCCTGCCTATACTTCCTGTCTGGCTACTGGCCAATCAGTGTTTATTTAAAACATAATTGACAGAATTGTCCCATACCATATTGACTGTAATAAAATTAATATGTAATAATTTAAAATGTGCACTTAATTATAAATGTAACCCAAATTAAGGTTTCATCCCACGTTTACCACATAAGAGTTGGGATTTGGGAGGAAGGGGGAGAGAGAAGGCAGAATGAAGCCACCTGGCAGAAGCTGGGGTGAGTGTACGTTGCATGACACCGGAGCAGATAGCTGGAAAGGGTACTGAGCCTTGATCATCGTGGGTTTTTTCTATCAGCCAGAGGGATTTCGATTTTGTTCATAAGCAGTTGGAGGTTCATTAAAAGCCTGCAATTAGTAGAGAAGGTGTATAAAAATACCTCAGTAGGGGGCTGGAGAGATGGCTCAGAGGTTAAGAGCACTGACTGCTCTTCCAGAGGTCCTGAGTTCAATTCCCAGCAACCACATGGTGGCTCACAACCATCTGTAATGGGGTCTGGTGCCCTCTTCTGGCCTGCAGGCATACACACAGGAAAAATATTGTGTACACAACAAATAAATAAATAAATAAATATTTTTTAAAAAATACCTCAGAAAACAGTTTAGAGCTAGGGCAGATTTCTTGCTTCTGTCTGAGGGCGAGTGTGTGCATCTGAATTAAACTGGCAGAGTAGTAGGCAGGAATCAGTGACCTTTTAGGCCTGAGGTGTCTGTGTTATTAGCTTAGGGCTTGGGACAGCCAAAGAATGGCAAGAAAGGCTCCATGGGCACAGTGGGCTTCTGGTCCACAGGATCTGCATCTGTGACTCAACCAGCCAAAGCTCAGAAGTAAATTTGGGAAGTAGTGCATCTGTGTTGGACATACACACAGATTCTTTGTCATTATCCCCCAAGTGGTACAGTATGGCCACCTTACACAGCACTGGCACTGCCTTAGGTATTACAGGTTATTGGAAGGTGATGGAAGTGTGTGGGAGGCTGTGTGGTGATGATACACAAACAGTGTATCTGGTTCTACAAAAGGACTTGAGCAGGCCAAGGGTTAAGTGTCCTTGAACCAATCCCCTGCTTACACAGAGAGGCTGCAGAAGTGCCTCCCACACCAGGTTTCCTCTGGCGCAATATAAGTCCCTCTGTCTAGCAGGACTCCTTCAGCCTCTGTGATCTGGCCTTGTCTCTCTCCAGCCTCTGGTTGTTCCCTTGACCTTGAACAGTCTTTTCTTGATTTTGGTCTTTGTTCGTGCTGTTCACTCTTCCTGATATAACTCTACCTCTTCCCTGGACTCTTGCTCTTCTTCAGGTCCAGCTTGGACATGCCTGTCTCGCGGTTTGCCACCCTTCTGATGTGTCCCTGGCAGACGCTCAAGGTTCGATGTTGTACTGTATCTCCCTGTGGTATCTGACGTACTACAGGCAGGAACTACACCCTGACTCACTGTGTGCTGAGTGCCTAGCTCAGGGCCTAGCAGTGGTGTGCATTAGTAAACACTGGCAGTGAGCATGCTATGTTCTTTGCTTTCAAGTTATATGACACTATAATATTTGGCCACTTGTGTTTTTCTGTTTGAATGGCCTAGCAAACCTTTATTATTATTACCTTATTGTATGTATATGGGTGTTTTGTCTGTGTATGTGTTGTGCACCATATAAGTGCCTGTGGTGACCAGAATATCACATCCCCTGGTACCAAAATTACAGATACTAGTGAGTGCTCGGAATCAAATCCGGGGCTTCTGGAAGCGCAGCCAATGTTCTTAACCACCGAGCCATCTTCTCCAGCCTTAGCCAAGCTTTTTGGTAGTGGAGATTTTGTAGATTTTTGTGTGTGTGTGTCTCTTGTGGTATAGGAAGTTACAAATAATACTGTGAGATTTACCTGGACCCTGGCACAGCGCTGCACTCTTCGTGAGGAAGCAAGTGACTTGCGGAAATCGGATGTTGGTGGCTCCTTGGGGTCGCTGACTACCCAGGTTCCCTTTCTTTCCTACCTTCAGGAGTCAATACTCGCCTTTGAAAAGCCCTCATCCATCTGTGTTATTCTCCCCAAATGTAGTAATTGTATTAATTTTATGATATTTCAAGATGTCTGAAATTAGCTCTGAAGATACTACCAAATATTAGTGAAAATGAAAATTTTAAATCTCTCAATTTAAAAGTTGCTATTTATTCTACATAGTAAATTAATTTTTGTATCTGTGTGGTGTTGTGTGTGTGTGTGGTATATGTGTGTTGTGTGTGCATACATGCAGGCATATGCACATGTGCATACATATGTGTTTGTGTGGAAATCTGAGGTGACACTGGGTGTTTTTCCTGGAATATTCTCAACCTTTGTTTTTTGAGACAGGTTTCTCACTGAATCTGAAGCTCATCTATTTGGCTAGTCTGTCTGTTCAGGGAGCCTCAGAGATCGCCCTGTTTCTGTTTCCTGCCCCTTCTCCCACCAGAATCTGGGGCTGCAGCAAATGATGTTGTGTGTGGTTTTCACATGGGCGCTGGGGAGCCCCACACAGATTGTCAATCTCGTCTGGCAGGCTTCTTACTGACTGAGCTGACTCCAAAACCCTTGGTACTTTAAAGAAAAAAAAAACACGTTGTTTTGTGTTTTTTTGACACAGGGTTTCTCTGTATAGTCTGACTGTCCTGGAATCCCCTCTGTAGACCAGGCTGACCTCAAACTCACAGAGATCTGCCTGCCTCTGCCTCTTGAGTGCTGGAATTAAAGGTGTGTACCATCACTGCTCAATTTAAAAAAGAAACTAAGGTTTATCTGTTTTATTTTCTTGTATGTCTGAGTATTTTGCCTTTCCAGGTAGAAGGGGAAGAGGATGGTGTTAAGAAATCAAGCATGCTGGACAGTGGTGATGCACACCTTTAATCCCAGCACTTGGAGGCAGAGGCAGGCAGATCTCTGAGTTTAAGGTCAGCCTGGTCTACAAAGGGAGTTCCAGGACAGCCAGGTCTACACAAAGAAACCCTGTCTTAAAAAACCGAAACCAAACAGAGCAAATAAAGAAAGAAAGCAGACAATGGAAGGACTTTCTGTTTTTCTGCAGAGCTGTGGTAGAATCTCCAGGGTAGATGAAGGTGCAGGTGGAAAGGGGCACAGCCAGATGTGTGCCTTGTCATCTGTATGGGATATGCATGCACATGCACACAGATGCACACACGTACGCACACTACCACTTATATGTAGTGTTGACTGTTTCTGGCAGGAATCTCTAGGAACTGTGGGGAGCTCTTGGGATACAAGTGCCGTGCTGGAACAAGAAGGAAGAAAGCTTCTTGCTTTTTTCCCTGTATTCTCTTTTGAACCTGGAAGTATTATTTTTTTTTTGTATGTATGCAGTAGGGTCTTGTGGGCTGTCTGTCTGACTTGGAACTCACTGTGTAGACCAGGTTGTCCTCACACTTGCAGCAATCCTCCTGCCTTTGCCTCCTGGGTGCTGGGATTACAGGCCTGTGCGACTACCTGACTGATGAATTACCTTTTCATTAGAAAGGGAAAGAAGGAGCCAGGTGGTGGCGGCACACACTTTAATTCCAGCACTCAGGATGCAGAGGCAGGCAGATTTCTGTGAGTTTGAGGCCAGCCTGGTCTACAGAGTAAGTTTCAGGACAGCCAGGACTACACAGAGAAACCCTGTCTCAGAAAAAAAAAAGAAAAGAAAAGAAAAGAAAGAAAGAAATAAAGGTAAAGGAGAACAGCTCCAAACATGTGGTCATATGGATGACCCTGGTTAAACTTCTAAATTTGGTTTAAAACAAAACAAAAAGTGAGAAAGATCTGTAGGGAACGGATGGGGGTGGGGAGCTACTATCGTAAGGAGACGGGGGACGGTGGGCTGTGAGAACGATCATTGTACACTATACATGTGTAAAACTTAAAAAAATAGATGTTTGTCCAAAAGAAGAAAAAGAAAGGAAAAATCACAGCATTTAACTGTGTCTTTCTATCTCTATCTCTCCTTCTCTGTATGCCTCAGACACACACAAACACGTGCATATGTGCACACACATCTCTGCCTCTGTATTTCTCAAACACACACAAACACATGCATATGTGCACATATATCTCTCTGTCTCTGTATGCCTCAGACATACACAAACACATGCATATCTGCACACATTTTTCTCTGTCAGTGTATGTCTCAGACATACACAAACACATGCGTATGTACACACATATTTCTCTATCTCTGAATGCCTTAGACATACACAAACATGTGCATATATGCACATAATGATGGTGATTAATAGACTTCTTTCCTTACAATTTGTATATTTATTTTTTTATGTATATATGAGTGTTTTGCCTTCGTGTGCACCACATGTTACCTGGTTCCTGTAGGGGTCAGAAGAGGGCATTAGAGTCCCCTTAATCTGGAGTTATGGGCAGTTGTAAGCCAATGTGTAAGTGCTGGGAATCAAACCTGAGTCCTCCGGAAGAGCAGTCAGTGCTCTTAACCACTGAGCCACATCTCCAGCCCCCAAGCTGACTTTTGCCTGAAGTCTTCTCGCACTTTTCTTCATTTATAATGCAGAAGGGCCTGGCTGGTTCAGCCATGTGTTCTCTGATATTATTTTTGAGTGCTTGGGTGCAGGAAGTAATCTTTGCTTCTTGTATTCTGAAGGCTTAACAAGAACTTGCGCATGTCTGATGATCCTTTCCTAAGGGAAAGCATGCATCAGTACCTTCATTCACCTAGCTGGGAACTCTGTCTTGGCCATGGATTCTGATTACCCTTGCTTTTAAGGCATCTAATTTCTGAGTTGTGTTTTGACCTTTTGATTGTGAACATTCCCATTAAGTGAGTGTTGATTAGATCCCAAATTCTTTTCCTCTTGCCTGTCTGACGGAGAAGAGGCTGGTGAAAAGCGATTCTGAGAGAGTCTAACAGCGAGCGCCTCATCCCCTCCCTGTCTTCTTGCTGCTTTCTCTGCAGGCCCTTTTTGGATATGTGCCACCTTGGTCTTCGCCATAGCGATTAGTGGAAACCTTTCCAACTTCTTAATCCACCTGGGAGAGAAGACATACCATTATGTGCCCGAATTCCAGAAAGGTGGGTATATTGTGTGAGTCATTTAGGATATGGACTGTCTCTGTGAGCTTTTACCCTCTGAGCACAGCATCCAGTCTCTAGGCGCTGCACCCCTGCTCGCAAATACAGCTCCTACCCCAGAGTTCTCCACATCGCATCTATATGTCTCACAGTCCTCCCCACGATGGTAAAAGTCTATTGCATATAACCCTTCCATCCTAAATGTTTATTGTTCAGTGGCACATATATATTCACAGTGTTGTAAATCTATATGATTTTTAGGGAAGCTGTCAGACTGAATAGTGCATGACTCGAGTTTATTCTAAAAATATACAAAATGACTAACACGGTGTACCTGAAGCTTGACTGAGGCAGTGTTTGCGTTATCTGGGGGCTACAAACAGCAGAGCCATTGTTCTCTATGTTCTGAAGGCTCAGCTAGCTAAGATGCCTGTAACCACTAATTATAAGCCATCTAGAGCATCGTGGGAAACCAGTAACTATGCCAAGCGGGTGCCTGTTCTGTTGGCAGTTTTGCTAACGACAAGTCCGCAATGGTCAAGACTTGGAGAGGACCACACAGAATGAGACCCAGCGTGGGCTCGTAAACGACATTCTTGCTTTAAAATGTCCTTCTTCTTTCTCTTCCTCTTCTTTGATTTGTGTGTGTGTGTGTGTGTGTGTGTGTGTGTGTGTGTGTGAATGCGTGCCCGTATATGAGTATGAGCATTTGTGCCACATTACACACGAGGTCAGAGGTCATCCTGGGTGTTTGTTGGTTCTCACCACCTTGTTTAAGGTGAAGTTATGTTGACTGCTGCATGCTTCAGACTAGCTGGCCTGTAAGGTTCCAGGGTTCCCCTGTCTCCATCTCCCATCTCATCATAGGCACACTAGGGTCACAGATTCACACCACTGCATCCGGCTCTAATAGCATCTAGGGAATCCTAACTCAGTACTCAGCTGTACCGTCAGTGTTTGCCCACTGAACTGATGCCCATCACTAAACTGCTTATCTTAAAAGCAATGGCAACCACTATTTGGCAGGGAAAACAGATTACAGGGACTTGCAGGCGACATCCAGCCCAAAGTGAGGAAGGTTGGCCTTATTAGCTTTTATCCAGGCCTGGTGTCCTTCCCTACCCACGCCTTGCTAAGAGACTGTGTGCAGCCTGGATAAGAGCACAGGCTCCCAAATGGAACACCAGTCACAGGTCCCAGCCCTGCCATTCACTCACTTCTGCTTCTTAGGTGATGTTCTGAGTCTCAGATTCCTCACTGGCCAAACGGAAATGATAATACTCACATTATAGGGCTGGTGTAAGAATAAAGAGTTGGTCGGTCGTGGTGGCGCACACCGGTAGGATTTGCTGAAGGAGGAAGAGGCAAGAGGATCATGAGTTCGAGGCCAGCCTGGGCTACATATTAAAAAAAAAGAATAAAGAGTTGAGCCAGGTGTGGTTGCTCACGCCTGTAATCCCTGCAGAGGCCAGAGGATCAAGAGTCTGAGGGTAGGCTGGAGAGATGGCTCGGAAATTAAGAGTACTGCCTGCTCTTCCAGAGGTCCTGAGTTCAATTCCCAGCAACCACATTGTGGCTCACAACCATCTGTAATGAGATCTGGTATACTCTTCTGGTCTGGTGGCATACATGCAGACAGAACACTGAATACATAATAAGTAAATAAATATTAAAAAAAAAAGAGTCTGAGATTAGTCCAGACAGTGAGTTCTAAGACAGCATGAGCTACACAGTGAGGCCTTGTTTCAGAAGAAGAAAGTTTTAGATGTGTAAGGAGGTTAGAATAGTGTTGTATGTGAAAGAAATTCAATAAATATAATTATTGCCATGTCTGTATGCATGTCTATGTATAAAGGCATGTATGTATGTGAGTGCATTCATGTGTTCTTCCTTCTTTTTCTCCCCTTTATTCTATGTAAATTGTGTATGTGTGTGTGTGTGTGTGTGAGAGAGAGAGAGAGAGAGAGAGAGAGAGAGTCAGAGTCAGAGTCCATGTATCCTTCTTTTTCTCCCTTTTTGCCTTGTTTGTTTGTTTGTTTTGAGACAGGTTTTTCTCTGTGTATCCCTGGCTGTCCTGAAACTTCCTCTCTAGACCAGGCTAGCCTAGAATCCAGAGATCCACCTGCCTCTGCCTCCCTAGTGCTGGGATTAAAGGTGTGTGCCACCACTGCCTGGCTCTCTTTTTACCTTCTGTATTCCTCTTTCTTCCCTTCTGTTCCTTTAAGCATAGAATCAGACATAGATTCAGTCCTGTTTACTAACAAAGTCTTCATTTGACTGTAAACTTGGGTGTGTTCCCTGAGAGGCATAGGCATTGCCTTCAGGTAGCTCAGTGGTTGGCAGAGCAAGACAGCGGCTATGTTGCTGTAAGTAGTTAACTTCAACCCTGCAGGTTCATATAGAGCTACCAACCGAGAAGAGTGGCCCACCTGCCTGGGGATGGAGCTGGAGCACAGGAGGGTCCTTACTGTTGTTAGCCCTTTAGCTGGGCACCCAGTGTCAGGAAGTGCTGGCTGATAGAGCAGGAAGGTGATCCTTGCTCTTTCCATGACCATTCTCCCAGCTCATGTGAAGAGTGGGTGTTGTAAGCCTGTGGGTGGCTCGGTTAGGGAAGGTGCTTGCCTGAGTCCAGAAACCAAAGCAGTAGGGAGAACTGACTCCTGAAAAGGTGTCTGGTGGACACGCACAGACACACCCACACACCCACGTACACACCCACACACAGATGCATGTACACCCCTACGCACAGACCCACACGCAGACACACCCACGCACAGACGCGTGCGTTCACACACACAAACACCACGTATACATTAATAGTAATTAAAACTCTTTTTAAAGTGTGAGTCATATCTGAGGTTATATCCTGCTCTGATCAACTCATCAAAATGCTTGACATCTCTGGTCCTGTTTTCTTCTCTAAAGGGAAATAGATACAAATGAGTTACTGTGTTTATACATTAGCTAGTAACATAAAGTGGTAGTTCTGTTTTTTAAAACACTGAACTTTTTTAAAAAAATTAACTTTATTTTATGTGCATTGGTGTGAAGGTGTCAGTTCCCCTGGAACTGGAGTTACAGACAGTTGTGAGCTGCCATGTGGGTGCTGGGAATTGAACCCGGGTCCTCTGGAAGAGCAGCCAGTGCTCTTAACCACTGAGACATCTCTCCAGCACTGGTAGTTTTGATTTTTAACCTAGTTTTCTATATAGTTCAGGCTGTAAAGTTGTCATTGTGTTGCCTTAGCCTTAGTTCCAAGTGTTGGGATTACAGTCATGTGCTTGTATCATTAATAATAACTTAGATTATTATCCTTTATGTGTGGTGTGATGCTGGGAATTGAACCCAGGGTCTTGACATATTTGCCACTCAGCTTCATTCCCAGTCCATGTTCTTTTAAGACAAGACTTCTCTTGGCCCAGGTTGACTTCTAGTTCACTGTGTATCTGGAGGTGGTCTTGAACTCTTGATCTTCCTGCCTCTACCACCAAAGTGCTGGGATTACAAGCTCTGACACTATGCCTGGCTCAAAACCTAATTCTTTTATTTATTTATTTACATAGATTTATTTTTTTGAGATAGGGTCTCTCTCTGTATAGCTCTGACTGTCTTGGAACTCACATGACTGGTCTTGAACTCACAGAGATCCACCTGCCTCTGCCTCCTGAGTGCTGGGATTAAAGGCACATTTAGCACAATGGCCAGCCTCGTTTATTTATTTTTTAAATTTATTTATATAAACAGGTGTTTTGTCTGCATGTATGTCTGTGTACCACTTGCTTGCCTGTTACCCTAAGAGGTCAGAAGAGGGAATCAAATCCCCTGGGATTGGAATTATGATTGGATTGGGATTGGTTGTGAGCCATTGTGTGGGTGCTGGGAATCACACCTGGGTCCTATGGAAGTGCAGCCAGTGTTATTAATTGCTGAGCCATCTCTCCAGCCTCCACATCTAACTCTTAACTGAATCTGTATTGTCGGCCAATCACTGCTCAAAATAGTTCTCACCTGTGTCGGCTTGTTTGATTTTCCTGATGGCCTCATGAGGTAATCTTATTCCCGTTTTGCAGACAGGAAACTGAAACGGGAATGTTTGGTAACTCTCCACCCGGAGTTGCTTTGCCTCGGGTTAGAACCTGTGACTTAGAATCTGCTTGGCCTCAGACACCGTGTTGCCTCTCACAAAGCTCTGAGTGCAGGGTCTGATGTCCAACCACTGCTTAGTAAGCAGTAGCTACAGCCAGGGTAGAATTTCCTTCTGCTTCCCTTTACCACCCAAAGGAAAGGGATTCTGTCAGCAAAACTGCACGTGGCTCAATCAGGGCATTCCAACGTGAGAGAAAACCGTCATGGAGGGGCTGGAGAGATGGCTCAGAGGTTAAGAGCAATGACTGCTCTTCCAGAGGTCCTGAGCTCAATTCCCAACAACTGCATGGCGGCTCACAGCCATCTGTAATGAGACCTGATGCCCCCTTCTGGCTTGGAGGCAAACTTAGAGGCAGAATGTTGTGTACATAATAAATAAATACATTAAAAAAAAAAAAACCTGCCATGGAGCCCTCAAAGACTCTGGACAACGGCATGCTTTCATCAGAGTCTGACCGAAATCGCTAGCCTGGGCCTGTTTTTACAGGAGGTGCTAATTGAATTGTTTGCTGATTTTCACGTTGGCAGGGCAGGTGCCTTGGCTTAGCATGTTCTAGGACTGTCACCCCAGTTCTGGGAGTTGGCGCCCTTCAGGAGAGGAGACCAGGAGACCGTCCAGTGACGGCTCCCAGGAGCTGCTAACATAGGTGCGTCTGCTGCCGAGGCAGAGTTATTTACGGGGGAAGAAGCCAGTGTGGTGACACGCCTGAGCTGGAACTCCGTAATTTAGAGACAGATCACTAGATGGCATGCAGAGCAGGTTAATCTGTACCCAGGGCATTTTAATACATTTGCTAAAGAAATCAGTGTCAGCTCTTGTTTTCCTAGGGAGGAAAATGTGTTCTTCCGGGGGAATCGTTGGATTTTATTTGATCTAAAAGCTCAGTGTACTTAGATACATTTAGAACGGCTCTCTGAAGTATTTTAGTTACATAATTCAATTGTTTCAAAGACTAGTTTTTAGTCACTAAGTCCTATAAAACCATACAGGAGACACTGGCCACTACCACAGAGGTACATGCTAAGGATTCATTAGATTGAAAGACATTTCTAAAACACCTACTGTGTGCCAGGTGCTGTGCCAGTTCCAGCAGACACAGAGCAGAAAGGGGTGTGACGCAGCCAAGTGGTGGTGGCACAAGCCTTTAATCCCAGCACAGGCGGATCTCAGAGTTCAAGGCCAGCCTGGTCTACAGAGTGAGTTCTGGGACAGCCAGAACTATACAGAGAAACCCTGTCTCAAAAGAAAAAAAAAAAAAAAAAAGGGCACGTGAAGCGCCCTGGTAGTGTGCTTGCTAAAGGCTTCTCGGGGACGGAAGTGTTCTGTCATCTGCAGTGTCCATAGCGGCTACCATCATCTATGCCTACGCCTGGCTCGTGCCTCTGGCTCTCTGGGGCTTCCTCATATGGAGAAACAGCAAAGTGATGAATATCGTCTCCTATTCGTTTCTGGAGATCGTGTGCGTGTACGGCTACTCGCTCTTCATTTATATTCCCACAGCGGTGAGTACCATGCCAAGTTGGGTGGAAAATTCAACAGAGTGCCCCACGGGGCTTTGTTACTTCCAGCCTGCTGCTCCCCTGTCCCTGGAGGTTATTTTTGAATTTAAAGTACAGGACAAATGGGTGCCAGGAAGGCAAGGGCTTTGCTGTGTCAGGAGCCCTGGGTTAGGACCATCCCCCTGCATGCTGGTCGCATGCTCTACAAAGCCGCGTACATCCTGGGAAGGAACAGACACCCCCCAGCTCAACCACATGCTCTCTCCTTTTCCAGGTACTGTGGATCATTCCCCAGAGAGCTGTCCGTTGGGTCCTCGTCATGATTGCCTTGGGCATCTCGGGGTCTGTATTGGCAATGACATTCTGGCCAGCTGTTCGCGAGGATAACCGGCGCGTCGCCCTGGCCACCATTGTGACAATCTTGTTGCTCCACGTGCTGCTGTCTGTGGGCTGCTTGGTATGTTGTCACTGTACCCTCTTGGTGTGGTTTTAAACGTTTACCTATAGTGGATGTACAAGTGTAGGCACGTGCACACGGTACATGTGTGGAGGTCAGAGGTCAGCTAGAATCAGTTCTCTGTTTCCATCGGGTGGGCTCTGGGGGTCAGGCTCACGCCAGCAGGCTTCCCCGTGAGCATCTTTACCTGACGCACCATCGTCCAGCTCTCTGGGTGTGCTTTGCAAAATCCTCAAGCTGTTAGGTGCAGTGGCTCTTTTCAAACTGACACTGGGACCTAAGCATCAAAATCGTCCTAGAAGGTGCGAGGACTTGGTTGTAATGTGTGACTTTCCTGGCTACTGTGATGTGGTTAAGATTCAGTGTCTGGCCAGAGAAGGATGAGTGACCATATGTCTCTGTACAGGGCTGGGGAGCAGGACTGGGGGAGGGAGGGGCTCTGCCTGCTGGTGCCTTTTTGGTTTCCTGTCCATGGCTAGACAGATGTTGGACATCTGGCTGGTTAGAATGAAGGGGACAAAACAGATTTCATGGGTGGGAAGCTTAAGATTGGAGTCAAATTAGACACCTGGATTGTTGCTAAGGGGCACAGTGTTTGAACTGTTTGAGTTCCCGTGTCTAGATATCCTTTCAGGAAACGCATGTGCTCCTGAGTCATGCAGACCCAGCAGAAGGGTCTGTTGTGTGGTGGCTGTGTGTGAGCTTGGCCACGGCTCTGTGCTCCTCTGAATCCTACTCCTTCATCTGTGACCTGACTGGCCTCTTCCCGCATCGATTGTCCCGAGAGTCAGACAAAACAACACACAGGAAGCATGTGACGTGACATAGAGCTTGTCCGCTGATGAGCTATAGAGCTGTTGTTTGTTTGTTTATTTGGTTTTGGATCCTGAGGAGACATTGCTCAAGCTCCTGCGGTGTCCCTCTGGACCCTTCTGTCCTCTCTACTGCTTCCAATTGACATCTTTTTCCTCCTCTGTGCTTTTAGCATTGTCAGGTAGGCTGAGGCGAGGAAGGAGGGAGGGAGGGAGGAAGGGAGGGAGGGAGGAAGGAAGGAAGGACTATTTTTTTCGTTTGAGGGGGGTTAAAGGCCATTTTTTGTTTGCTTGTTTGTTTGTTTGTTTGTTTTGTTTTTTGAGACAGGGTTTCTCTGTGTGACAGTCCTACCTGTCCTGGAACTCACTTTATAGACCAGGCTGGCCTCAAACTCCCTGAGATCCACCTGCCTCTGCCTCCCAAGTACTGGGATTAAAGGTGTACACCACCACCGCCCAGCTGGAAAGGCCATTTTTAAGTCTGTGAGGTCTAGAAAGGAGCAGGGCATATTGAACATAGAGGAGGGAGTGCCATTATCATTAAGAACACACTTCAGGGGCTGGAGATGGCTCAGCTGCTAAGAGAACTAGCAACTCTTACAGAGGGCCCGGGTTCAGTTCTCAGCCCCCATGTGGAAGCTAACAGCCATCTGTAACCTCAGTTCCAGGGAATTCAATGTCCTGACCTCCATGAGTGCCAGACACACATGTGGTACACATACATACGTATATGCAAGCAAAATATTTTACATATGAAATAAATAAATATGAAAAAAGAGCCCATCTTGAGGGGGTGGGGAAGTGGCCTAATGGGTAAACTCGCTTGTTCTGCAAGCCTGACAACCTGAACTTGGTTTCCCAGCACCCACATAAAAAGCTAGGTGTGTGGACATGGTGGCATGTATCTCCAGTCCCAGCTCTTGAGAGGCAGAGGCAGGCAGATCTCTGAGAGTTCCAGGTCAGCCAGAGCTACGTAGACCCTGATTCAGGAGGAAGCAAAACTGGGCATGACTCCATGTGCGTGGAACTCCAGCACTGGAGGTTGGAGACAGGTGGGTCCAGGATCTCACTGGTCAGTCAGCCTTGCTGAGTGAGGGCTGCTATCTCAAACCAGTAAGATGGGAAGTACATGATGTTCTGCCCTGTTCTCTACATGAATGTAGCGTGTGTGACTCTACACACTTACTGCATATCACACACACATACACACACACAGACCCCAAACACATTAAATTAAAATGTGAAGGAACCCATTTTGGGGTTGGGGATGTAGCTCTGTGGATACAGTGCTCGCTAGCCTGCACAAAGTCCTGGGTTTGCTTCCCTGTGCCACATGAACTGGGTGTCATGGCGCAGGAGGAATGGAACTTCAGCATTGTCTTCAGCTACATAAGGAGCCGGAGGCCAGCCTAAGCTGCAGGCCTCACCTACAAAAAAAAGAAAAAGAAAGAAAAAAGCTGTGGTAGCTGTGTTAGGACCTGCAGGATCTTTTACTGCCCAAGACTCTCCCTTCTCAGGTAATGTACTGGAGGTAGAATTTTCTTGCCCATCTTGCTGCAGTAGAATTTTCTAGAAGAGAGCCAATGAGATGAGGGATTGCTTGCTACCAAGCTTCATGACCTGAGTTCAAGCCCCAGGACCCACATGATGGAAGGAGAGAACCAACTCCTTTACATTGCTCTCTGATCTCCAGACTTGCACTGTATCCCTTGTGCTTCCCCCTGCACTAATAAATATAATTTAAAAGTAAAATAGTTTTGTAAAAGAGAGCATCGTTACGAAGTAGAAAGAACTCTGACCAGGGAGGTGCTCAGTGATGTAAACTGAGGCATCTTCGCTATCATAACCTCAGTTTTCCTTTCTTTCTGGGCTTCAGTGAAAGTCAGCATATGGCAGGAAACTCTCTCCTGAGGAGGGTTCTTTGGGTCAAAGGCATCAGCAGAAGTTTCCAGGGCCACTCTGCTGCAAATTGTAACCTGATTCCCTAGTAGGAGTGACCCAAGGTCACACAGCTCATAAACTGACTGAGGCTCTCATTTCACACTGTGGCGGAGCCCTTCTTTGGTCCCTCTCCCCGGGCCATCTGTGCCCTGAACTTTTCACATTGTCTACTGGGCTGAGAAGTTGGTAGAGAGGTAGGGAGGAGAAGGGCACATTCCATCCAGCTCTGAAGTCGCCTAACTGGGGCATGTTGGACTGTGGACAGAGGTGTCCACCAGGAGAAGGGCTCTTCTCGTGGAAGAGCCACTGTGTATCTGGACAGCTTGTGAGCCCAGCACCAGGGGACTGGAGGCAGGTGGGTGTCTGAGGCTCCCTGCCGGTCAGCTTAGCCTGCTTGTTGAGTTCTAGTGAGAGAATGGGTGTGCTTTTGAAGGAGGAGGATAGTGCCAGAGGAGTAGGCTTGGGGTCGTACTCTGGCCTGCACACGCGTGTCCACATGTGTCCACACACCACACACAGGTAAGCATTCACATAGATGCACACAGGTAAGCATTCACATAGACACATGCAGAAAAGGAGAGGAAGAAAACTATGTCTAGTCATGTCCTCAGAAGACATTCTTGTTATTGAAAGTGGGAGGAGGAGTTGGCTGGGGAGTTGCTTGAGATGAGGGGTGCCAGCTGAACCAGACAGCTGAGCCTGGCTTTCTCAGTCTCTCCTGGGAAAGCTGGTCTGGCATCTTCCTCTCAGTGCAGTGATGTGTGTGGCAGCCCCACGCCTGCCGAGGTTCCCCCAGGACTGCACTTGAAAATTATCTCCAGGTCCTCACTGGAGGCTCACACCTGGCGGGGACAGTGAAGGAAGCACCCAGAGAGTGAAGGAAGGGTCCTCAGTGGGCTCAGCGAGAGTCAGACAAGCCTCCGTTTGGAGACACCAGTGCCTACTGGCCCACAGTGCTCAGGATGGGCAAGGCCGGACATAGACCCTGCGTCATATCACAGGCTGTGCAGAGACTGGAAGAAAATGCCTTATCAATCTTTTTAACTGAAGAGGTGGGGGAAGGGCTTATCTGCAGGCACAGTGTTAGTGGTTAGTGCAGATGAGGGACCTGGACCATTCAGCTCTGACCTCAGAGAGTCCTGAGGAACCCCGGGATAGGGTACTCTGGCCTTTGACTCACTCATGTCCCCCAAATAGAGGAAATTCCTTCCTTTGTGTCAGAAAACAGCTGCAAGAAAAGTAAGTTTGCTCTGAAGAGTTGATAAGCTAGAGGGGTACCCGGGCAAAGAGAAACTGAAGAGATTGTTAACTTTCAAGGTTGGACAGTCTGGGAAGCCCGAGCATGTCGTGTTGGCGCCCTCTTCTGGTTAGTAATGGCAGAGCTACTGGAAATAGTTTTGCTTTTTACCTTTGCTCCTCTCTGAGCCCCTGATGCGGCATCCCAAGCGTCTGGTAGCCCTTGGCATAGTAACAGTTTTACTTACTCTTTGAAGGGAAGCTCAGGGCTAACAAGATGGGTGTTTTTCTGGGCTAACACGAGCATCCTCACACCTCAGGGCAGGAGGGAAGATCTTGGCTGCCTTCTCCCTCCCACTACCTCCTGATTCCTGACAGCTAACCTGGATGACTAGTGGAAGCACTTGTCACACACTGTCTTCATGTCGCAAGTACTAGGAAGTTAAGCGTGCCCAGCACTTTCTTTCCAAGGTCCCTGCAGAGAGCCAACCGACTGGTTTAGCAACAGCCAGCTCAGAAGCTTCTGGCTACTTAGTATCACGCCAAACCTGATGAGATGCAGGTAACACAGACAGTTCCTGTGTGGCTCTGCAGTTGCAGAGGCGAGCTTTGGAGTCAGGTGAGCACAGCTGTGGGGCCTGGCTCCACTGCGCATCCAGGCATACTGACCCGAGGGCAGTCTCTGTGAGCCTCGGTTTCTGTACCTGTCAGGTGAGGATACCGTACAGGCCCTCGGGGTCGTTGGGAAGATTTGGGCATACAACTAGCGCAGCCAGTGAATAGGAACTAAGTTTTAAAATGTTGGGTAAGTGAGACGGACAGACAGACTGAAGGACTGACGGACGGACAGACCCGTGGCTGCCGTTTGGTGTGATGACTCGTGGTGGGGGAGGGGAGAGGCCCCAGAGACTCTTCATCTGGCTCCTAGAGGAATGCTCACCTGGCTCCCTCATGTGTCTCCTTCCTGCAGGCTTACTTCTTTGATGCCCCAGAGATGGACCACCTCCCCACAACTACAGCCACTCCCAACCAGACAGTTGCAGCAGCCAAGTCCAGCTAACAGGGAACGCAATTTTCATCTTGTGGGGTATGTTACAAACGGGCAGGGGCAACGGTTCTGTGTTAGCCTGAAGGACAGGAGGCTAACCCTGTATCTTTCTGCACACCTTCATGTGGGTATGTTTCTATTGCTGAAAATTCCATTTTGAAGTCCATGCGCCAAGCGCGGGCTCTTGGGTTCCAGGCAGTGGAGTCCTGCTCTGTCTTTACACCTACCTTCTCTGCTTCCTGTGTACTTTCCAGTGCACGGGAGAGCTTCTCCCTTTCCTGATTGTCCCAGTGATTTCCCTGTACCTCTGTGACTTCTCAGGCCCATCTCTGAGACCTGTGTTGCTCTCTTGAATGACCGCCTGGAGTCCTCTAAAGGCTTCTGAATTTTTTTTTTAAATATTTATTTGTTTATTATGTATACAATATTCTGTCTGTGTGTATGCCCGAAGGCCTGAAGAGGGCACCAGACCTCATTACAGATGGTTGTGAGCCACAATGTGGTTGCTGGGAATTGAACTCAGGACCTTTGGAAGAGCAGGCAATGCTCTTAACCACTGAGCCATCTCTCCAGCCCCAGGCTTCTGAATTTTTGTGCCTCATTTGTTCAGGCCTCTGAAGTTATCCCTCCATGAATGGTTAGCTGAGTGAGTTAGAGTACAGAAAAAAGGATCTAGCTTCGTAATTTATGCTTCCCCTCCTGTTCTACCTCCTTAGCAGACCAAGGCTGAGCCTGTTTTTGGTTGACAAGTTTCCAGGTAGCTCAGGGTAGCCTTTCATTCACTACGTAGCCAAGGATAACCTTGAACTTGAGCTCTTGATCCTCATCCTGCTGCCCCTGGTTTTCAGATGCTGGCATTACAGGTGTGTGTCCTCGTGCCTAGTATGCTCCCCCCCACTTCCTTCTGGGTGAGAATTGAACCTGAACCCAGGGCCTTGTACAAGCTAAGCAAACACTTTATCGTACACTCCAGTTCCATTGTCTAGAACATTCTTCCCTTCCCACAGACGTCACTTACCTGGTGTTCCTATTTACACTATGCATACTCTGTTCTTGTGCTCAGGACCCTGTCTGTCCATCTGCCTGTCTGCCAATAGGTTCAGTCTTTCAGCCATTGTTTGTCCTCCGTGTACCCGTGTGACTCCCTGGTTAGAACTGGCTTCTTGAGAGCAAGGGGTGGATTTCCTTGTCCACCACATAACCTCGCGGTCCACAGTGAGTGCTCAGTGTTTGTGAGCACACCTGGCCTCTCGGTGGGCCATGAACCTTTACTCTGGTCTGTAAAGACCGGCTGTCTCTCGGTTCCTGTCTGCCTGAGCTGCTGTCTCATGGTGAAGGACATATGCCAGGACCTGCAAGGCTAGTAGTCAGACCGAACTAGAGCGAAAGCCTGTTCCTGCCTACGAGGTGCATCTGAACCTGTCTATAAAATAAGGACGACACAGCCTGTATGAGAAGATTGTCAGGAAGCTGAGAGACAGTTTTTATAAGCTCCTGGCAGCTAAGCACTCAGTGGTGAAATGAAAGCCACTGCCCTGACAATGGCTGGTGATTTATATTGAAATTTGCTGGGCCCCGTTGACTTTGCTCTGATACTTTATCTCCTTTTCATAAAAGGTATAGGAGTTTTCTTTCTTCATTGAGGAGTTCCAGTTGTAAGCCCTTCAAATTAACAAGATGTTGTGGTTAGAGGAGCCTCCAGTGGCTCCCTAGCTGACGCCTGCCTTTCTCTCAAGGATGCGCAGCTTAGAATCAAAGGCCAGAATAGGGTGGATTTCTGTCCTCATCTGTGTCAGTGCAGCTAAGGCCGAGAGCATACAGTTCCTTGCTCTCAGTCACCCGAGTGTGGTGGCAAACTAACACCTGTCACCGTCTGCTTCTCAGACCACTTTCCAGGTCGTTGTGTCGTCAGCCTCTCCTACCAGGCTTGCCCATGATTGCGTGGACAGGAGGGTGAATGTGTGGGGATCTATTGTGGTCGTCCGCTGCTGAGAAGCAGAACTGGGACTTGAACCCAGGTCTTGCAGAGCCAGCTTCTGAGTTTGCCCATCTGCCCCAATTTTTAGAGATGGCATTCTTTCTAAAATTGAAATCTGCGGGCCACACTGCTGCCATTCAGAATTTTGGGGGACCCTCTTGTCTGGCCTAGAGAGCTGTGGCTTGTAGTGCCTGCTTCTTGACTGCATGTCTTGCTCGTGGCAGGTCTGGATCGTGTGTCCATTACCTGTTTTGCTGCTTCCCCCCCAGTTTCGTGTGCTGGGGAATCTGGGCACAGCTTAGCCTCTTCCTCACTTTCAGGTCCTCTTACAAGGCTGTGGCCTTGTGCGGGGTGGACTGGGGCTCATCCAGAAGCCAGATCTGGGGAAGAACGCTTCGATTAGAAGCAAGCCACAGGTTAGCCCATACTGAAGGCAGGGGAGGGGCTCTTACAAGGGCCTGAGACAGCCATTATTGAGGCTGTTTTCCATTCTTTGCCCAGTGCAAACCCGTGATGTAGGCCTTAATTATACTATTGTCAATCCGTATGGTAACTATCAAGACTTAAGTCCTTGAAGAAATATAAATAGAAGTTCTAGTATTTTCTTGTCAGTCTTCAGTGGGTTGGTGTGGGGCCTCCTTCCTTTGCAGGAACACACCATGGCTTGTTTGCATCAGGACCTAATCACTCACCCAGCTAATCCTGCAGATGGACTCTTCTAATGTTAATGAAGAAGGCCTTGGCAAGGCAGGTCCCTTCCTTAGGCCAAAAGTCTCAGGATAGGACAGAATCTTGGTTGACTTGGCCTCTGTAGTATTCGGCCTGGGTCTTGGCTGGCTTGAACAGCGTGGGCGACCAATGCATGTCGGGAGGGTGAGCCAGCCTTTGCGAGATGAAGGCACATAGGGATGATGGTTTCTCCGCTGAGCTCAGGGCTTCACTGCTGCTCATTACACTCGATAAGGCAATTCTTTTGGACTTAGAAAGACAGTCTCTGCCTCCGAGATCCCCAGTCTGATGGCATGATCCAACCTAACAGGTCACACCGCATGGTGTGAGAGAGCCACAGGAGGGAATGGCTCAGGCTTCACAGGCAGGTCTCGTTTGAACTGTGTCCCAGAAGTGACACAGTTCTCTCTTTTGGAGGAGTAGTCACCATCCCGTGGCTTGGGAAAGGGGACGGTCCAGGCTGTTCAGTGGGACACAACGATACCCCAGAGGCACATCTCTCAGTGACAGACTCTGAGTCCAGCTAGAGAGGAACAGAAAGAACACAGGCAGCCATTGCCTAGCCCCGGTGCTGTAACCCTCCAGAGAGTTGGTGCAGGGTACACAGAGCTGGCTCCTCTGGGCTGTGCACAGATCTGTAAGCTGGGGTAGCTCCATTTAGGTGTCAAGTCTCCAAATGAGGTAGTGATGAACAGCTTCTTTGCAGCCTCCCTGGCAGAGCATCCATCGCTTTGTCAATAAGAGGGGCTGTTCAGAGGCCCGGGCACTGTGGATTTACGAGCTGGCAGTGTCTTCTACTGTAAGCTCCGGGCTCCTAGCTTTCATGGAAGAAAAATGGCTTCAAATCTCAACAATAACCTTCCCTACATAAATCTGTGTATGAGGACAGCTTAGCATGGAATAGGTTCTTGTGAGAACATTAACCTCTTCTCTCCCGGGAGCACCAGATCCTAGGGGAACCTATAATTACTGGTAAACAGGGAAGCTGCCCCTGAATAAGTCACTAAGGGAGCAACTGCAGCTGTCCTTTCTTGTGCACCAGCTTATTACCTGATCATCGCTGCTGTTTTTCCCGTGTCAAAGCCCTAGGGAAGTCCAGAAACTACCTGGGAAGGTCTGCCCGCTTGTGGGATTTCCTGGAAGACCACCCCGGGCTGAGGCACCCTCCCCCAGGCGGTGTTCGGTGTATGTGTGTTCCGAGGAGAGCAGCCAGCAGTCACCGTGCAGTATGACGAGGGCTTTAATAATAGATGAGCAGAGGGTTTCCGGCCAGTCCTTTGTAACTAAAATCCTCCTGTTGGGACACATGGGGTCATAAGCTGCGTCCTCATACTCACTCACACCACCAGCGCCTACTTCTTTCTCTCTTTGACATGCCTGTATGTGTGCATGTATGTATGTATGTGTATACATGTATGTATTCATGCATGCGTATGTGGTGTGAGCGTGTGTGTGAGAGAGATGGTACCTGTGTGGAAAGCCAGAGGACATCCCAAGGGAGCTGTTCCTCTCCTACCATGTGAGTTTCGGGAAACGAGCTGACAAAGGCAACAAGTTCCTTTATCCTCTGAGCCATCTTGCTGGCCCCAGAGTGCTTATTTCAGAGGTTAAAGGTACAAACCATTTCCCAGGTTTCTACACATTAGTTCCTTTATTATTAAATCAGCTTTGACTTTGTGCTACAAGACCCCCTCTCACCCCACCATTTAAAAAAATAGGTGGGCTGGAGAGATGGCTCAGAGGTTAAGAGCATTGCTTGCTCTTCCAAAGGTCCTGAGTTCAATTCCCAGCAACCACATTGTGGCTCACAACCATCTGTAATGGGGTCTGGTGCCCTCTTCTGGTCTGCAGGAATACACATAGAGAGAATATTGTATACATAATAAATAAAAAATATTTAAAACAAATAGTTAGGTGTGCTTTTATTCCCAGCAGTTGAGGGGCGGGAAGATGCAGGCAGATCTCTGAGTTCAAGGCCAGCCTGGTCTACATAGCAGGTTCCAGGCTAGTCAGGGCTATGTAGTGAGACCCTCCCTTGAAAATAAATTATAGTATTTTAATTAATTCCTTGAGGATTTTATACGTTTGATCATATTTACTCTCCACTTCTCCTAACCCATCTCAGGTTAATCCTTTGTGAATCCCCCCTTGAGATGCTCCAGCCTGCATGGTTTCACCCCATCACACAGGAGCCTGTCCTTTCCCTACCAGATGTGGCAGCAGTGCCCCGCCCAGAAAATCTCTGTTCAGTCCCGCATTGTTGCTTTCTCAATTGTCCCCTTTGTTCCCTTTTTTGGAGATAGACTGAGGACCTGGGATGCTAACTCAGAGTGCAGAGCTCGGGGCCTGACTTCGGGATCTGCGGGGTGGGTGTGGCGGGCACCTTTTCTGCTGCCTATCTCCAGGGATCTTGATCTTGAACCTCACTTTTTTTTTTTTCCAGTTCTGTCATGTTTGGTGGTGTGTGGCTCTTCCGGACACAATGTCCACTGTCAGAAGCCAGGATGGACAGCGTCAGCAGGGAACTCTGGTTGCACTGAAGCCTTGGCACCTGTAAGAATCAGTGTTGGCCTAAGGGTAACAGTCACATGCTAGAGCTGTGTCTAGCGTGTGTGAGGCCCTGAAAGTCCAACCCTGGAAATAAAATGCAGTGGTGTTCGACCTGTGTCCGTCCGCTCTTCTTCCCCACCCCCACGTACTGATCATCGCTGTGACAAAGGCAGTGCTGTGTTCGGGAATGAAAGGTGGCGGAGCGGGTCGGCAGGAGGAGGGCTCAGGTAGGGATCGCTGAGTCTAGAAGATGGAGGCCGGTCTGGACAACATAGGAAGGCCTTGGCCTCCAGCCGCTCCCCTAACCCCATAACAGTTAATAGAGGGGGGACCTCATATCTGGGGGACATCCTCACAGAAATTAGCATTTAGACACAGTCTAGTAAGATGAAGGAATCTTTGTTTTGTCTTGTTTTGTTTGAGACAGCACCTTGCTGTGTAACCCAGGCTAGCCTTAAACCTGTGATCCTCTTACTTCAGCCTCCCAAGTACTGTGATTACACATGCATCCCATGTGCCCCGTTGGAAGCATGGGATTTGATACTAAATCCACTTTAAGCAGAGTCATAAAGGGATTTGAAGTCCACCATAAGCAGAGGCACCATAAAAACAGAGAACAAATGCTTGGGGGCCACAAGGGATCTGTGAGCAGGTAAGTTGCAGTTTCTTTAAAAAGTGTTTCGAATATTCTGTGTGTAGTCTTCTCTGTATCATGTCTGTGTACAGTGTGTGTGTCTGATTCTCTCAGCGGTCAGAAGAGGGTGTCAGGTTCCCTGGAACTGGAGTTACACAGTTGTGAGCCTCCATGTGGGTGCTGGGAATTGAACCCAGGTCGTCTGGAAGAGTAGCCAGTGCTCTTAACCACTGAAGCATTTCTTGGGCCCCCAGTTTCAGTTCCTCAGACCTCCACTTCCCATCTTGGTCCAGTGCCCAAGCACAACATGTAAGCTGAATGTTAGTAACCAGCTCTTCCAGGCGCATTCGTTGAATGCCCATGAGGACAGACGGTGACCAAAGGTGAAGCTTGCGTACCAGGCAGAAGCACCCAGCACAGCGCCTGGCTCTGCTCCTGGCTTAGTAAGTGCTGGTGGGTTAAATGGATGCACAAAATGAGTTTCTCAAGAGCTTTTTAAGTCTTGACCTGGACCAGCAGGTCCTGAGAGGGAGAACAGGGAAGCAGTGAAGGAGACAGGAAAGCTGGGGTCATGAAGTCTTGCACAAGCTATGGTTCTTGCTGAGCAAGTTTTTATTTATTTATTTGTTTGTTTGTTTGTTTAATTGTTTTGGTATTTTCGAGACAGGGTTTCTCTGTAGTTTTTGGAGCCTATCCTGGAACTAGCTATTGTAGACCAGCCTGGCCTCGAACTCACAGAGATCTGCCTGCCTCTGCCTCCTGAGTGCTGGGATTAAAGGCATGCGCCACCACTGCCCGGCTTGCCGAGCAAGTTTATTAAGAAGTGCAGCATCTGCTATGCAGTTTGCAGGGGGAGATGGGGGACAGAGTCAGCAGAGAGCTAGCGCACAGTGAGATGACGTCAGCAGGACGCTAAGCAAGCAACAAAAAGAACACAGTCTGTCTCAAGTGTGTCACAGACCGCACACAGTGGCCTTGGGACTGATAACTCTGGCCTCTTCAGGAGAAAAAGCCAGGTTCCCGGAACCGAAACCTTAACTTCTTTGAGGTCCTGTCGCCAGTCCCAGACTGGACTTTGCCAAGTGTGCCCCTGGGCAAGGACACAGATCTAGTGTTCTCTTTCATGGGCATCTGAGAGAGCCTTGGATAGGTATGGCTCTCAACAGAGACTTCTGAATTCGTTAGCGTTGTTTGATGGGTACTATGTTATTTTATGGCATCCACCGACTCCAAAGTATCAACTTAAAACATCGGTGTTGTATCTCTTGTTCATATTATAAATTCCTCCCAAACGGGCGGGGGTATGGTACATTCCATCACTCAGGTACTGGGGCAGGGGTACTACCAGTTCTAAAATCTTTGTGGTCACTGTATTAGAGGGAAAGATCTCTGGGGCATCTCACAGCGCAGTGAAGTCTGCCAGCTATAAATGCCTCTCAGCACTCCTGCTCATAAGAGCTCAGACAGCCATGCAGACAGGGTATTTGAAAGGTGGGTGACAGGGCTCAGGGCTCAGTTTCAGTGTGTTGGTGGAAACAAACAGAAGACACGACTGTCCCCTTTTTTACAGTCGGGGACCATGCTGAGGTTGGGTGAAGCCATCCGCAGGGTTCTGGGATTTTCCCTGCATTTGCTTCTCTTCAAGCCTTACCTCTGACCTGCATACTCTACAGTGTCTGATGGACAGCTTTGACACGGCTTCTTCCTCACACACCTGCAGATGAGATGCCATTGGTTGTATTCTTAACCTGTGGGTCTCACTTGACCATCTGTATCCTAGGCTCAAATCCATCTTTGTAAGAAACCTATGCAGTGTTGAAAAGGGTGAAGGTTGGCGTGCGCAGCCTGGATTACATTTTGCTCAGCTCATGTGGGTTTCCCCATGGTTCTCTCTTCATTGGTTTTCCTCATGAGTCTGACCCCCAAAAAGCAGCAGAGATGGCCCTGCCACATAGCCACAAGTACAATCTGGCCGTGGGGAGAGGGGAGGAGCTTAAGCTTGCTTATCAGTGGACTGAACCTTACAGAGTCTTTCCCAAAGCCTGGGGTTGGGTCTTTAGAACAATGGCCTGCTCTTACCCTGGCACAGGTGTTCCCTGCACCCCACAGGAAAGCATCACCTGTGTGCTTCAATCCCTTTGGCTCCCTTCACTAACTATGCTTGCACAAGAACTGCGGGTGTCCCAGGAGCTGTCTTTCAAAGCAGGTGCCTTTGATTTTCCTTTTGCAAAGACTAATTTCATGAAGAGCTGGTTGCCTTCTTTCTGGAAGGAACTGAGCCTGCCGCTAACCGGATGGATAGAAGGAAGGGTTATTTGTCACTCTAAGCCTTTATATTTTACAAGGTTATAAAACATAAAAATCTATACAACTGAAGAATTTGAAATGATTTAGGAAATTTTTAGTGTTTTTAAAATATTAGGGAAATTGAAAAACAAAAGGAAATTTCCACACTTCTGTGTGTTGCTGGGTGGTTCAGGATTTTTCAGAATTTTCCATTATTCAGAGGTTAGAGCTTCACCTATCTTCTCTAGTATTCACTTTTACTTTTTAAGAATGTATTATTCTCTGTTAATCACTTAAAAACATAAGACATTTATTTTTATGTGTATGGGCATTTCTTTCTGCAAGTGTATCTGTGCACAATGTGAGTGCAGTGCCCTTGGAGGCCAGAAGGGGGCGTTGGATCCTTGGAACTAGAGTTACACATAGACGTGAGCCACTATGTGTTCAGAATCAAGCCTTGGTCCTCTGGAAGAGCATCCAGTGCTCCTAACCACTGAGCCATCTCTTCAACTCCCTATTAGTTACTGATAAAAAAAATCCTTTTTTTGCCAGTTGTGGTGGCACACGCCGGTAGGATTTGATGAAAAAGGCAGAGGCAGGAGGATCATGAGTTCGAGGCCAGCCTGGGCTATACATTAATTTGAAAAAAATCCTTTTTTTGTTTTGTATTCCTTTCTGATTAAAAAATATTTTGCTATACTTTTGCTGTTGAAATTTTAGCTCTTGAAATCCTTCTAATTCAACTTTCATTTATGATTTTTCTTTTATTTTGATTTCTTTCCTAAATTCTATCATAATGATTGAGTTTTTATACCACTCGTTTGTATTTTTTCCACATCACATATGTTAGTTAATTTTATTCTGTTCCAAGAGGAGTAGGTTATAGTTTCATGTGTCTTGTGCACATTTTCTGAATTGCTGCTTGTCTGAAGGGAACACCCCTCTCTGTTTTCCCAGGCAGGGGAAGAGAAAGACTTAGCAGCTCTGGAGTGGTCAAGGAATTAGTGACACTTATTGTCACCTGACCAAGAACCTGTAACTTTCTATAATGTACCGGATAATTTCTGAGCAAAACCTCATTCAGTACAGCATCTTTCTAGACGGTTTCGTTATTGGCAAGGAAGCCGGGGCTCAGTCAGCGACTGTGGATGGTTGTGGGTGCTTGTGACAATTTTGACCATTTCAGGGAACTAACTCCTCAGTTCCTGACCCACCGCTGTGGTGAGCTGGGAGCATCTCCCTCAGCAGGTTGGTCCTGAATGTGGTCTTGCAAGGTGTGTGCAGGGGTTTGTCTTTTGTCTTCACAGTAGCATGGCAAGCGCTTTGCTGTTTATGAAAATCTTTCTTCTTTGCGGAAGCCGCTGTTTCACGTACTCCAGCGAGTCTCACGCTCACTGTCTAAGGATGACCTCGAACTTTGTGTACTCCTGCCTCAGTTTCTTGAGTGTTGGGATTGCAGGCGTGTGTCACTGTGCTATGATTTTGGGGTGCTGTCGATCAAACCTAGGACTTGGTGCACGTTAGGGAAGCAGTCTACTAACTCAGCCACACACCCCTTCAGTTCTTATCTTTTTATAGCATAATATTTACATCTTCACCCCCATGACAGGATGTTGTGTTGTGTTTTTATCCTTATTTTACACTTGAAGAAGTAGAGGTTCAAGAGGATCAAGTCACTGCACTTAACAAGTGTTATATCTTGGGTTAAACACAAAACACACTTTCCTTAGCAGTAAAATCCATTGAAAAAGATTTCAGTGAATTGCTGAGTATTAAAAAAGAGGGCTGCAGAATCCTTTGCTTTCACTTTTTAGAAAGGTGGCATTCTGGAAAAAAAAGAATTGAAAAAAATCACATTTCAGCTATTTCTGATGTGTAATATTCTTACTCACTCCCAGGACTAGTATAGCTTTATTTAAAAAAAAAAAAAAAGGCAAAAGGAAAGGAAGGCAGAGAGATGGCTCAGAGGTTAAGAGCACTGGCTGCTCTTCCAGAGTTCCTGAGTTCAAGTCCCAGCAACCACGTGGTGACTCACAGTCATCTGTAATGAGATCCTATGCCCTCTTCTGGAAGGCAAGCAGAACACTGTATACAATAATAAACAAATAAATCTTAAAAAAAAAAAAAAAAAGAAAAAAAGAAAAGAATAAGGAGAAAAAGAAAAAAGGACTACAGTTCCCAGCATGCTTCA